CTATTTATTACCTTGTTACTATCTTGAAAACTTTATTTTTTATTAAAGTACAGGGATATCAAGTGTTACTTTATGAATTAACAAAAGACAATCCTGATCTTGAAAAAGTAAAGGCAGAAAATCGTGATCTAATAGCTATAATTGCTAAAACACCAATAGAGAGAGATGTCAGGAAATGTATGCATTCATTTATAATTGAAATACTTCAAAATAAAGATGTTAAAAAAATAGAGGAACTCTCTGAGATTACTCAAAATTTTTATCAAGGATTTGCTAAACGTTTAGAAAATAGTGCCAAATATGCAGGTATTCTAAGAAGGAATTTAAATGAAAATAATTTAAATTTATAAACTGAATGTAGATTCAAAATTAAGAAGTACCCCTTTGAAAATGCTTGCAAGATATAAATCTTAATTGTTTTATTTTAGATATAACACCAGAAATTAAAGAAAAATTGTTGGATTATGTAGAAAAATATGCAATGACTTTACTGTACAGAATTCTTTTTTGTCCACCTTTTACGAGTGATGAAGAAAAAGACTTAGCAATACAAAAAAGGTTGGTTTTACTCATAAAATCAAAATTAATGATGTTCCAGATTAATACATAAACAAAATATTGCTACAGAATCCGTAAATTGAACTGGGTTAGTGGAAAAAATTTAGAATGTCAAATACATGAAACCAGTTCTGAAGTTAGAGAACTTGTTTATACTTCTATAACAGGTTAGTTCATAAAACATTTAATTAACTACCTTAATTTACAATTATGTATCCTGATTTTTTTACTTATCATTTGTATGACAATTACTATTTATTTAATAACAGCTTTCTAATTTGTTGTAGATTTATTAAACATGGATTCTGCAAAGGCTCCACAAGAAAAACTTTCTTGCATTATTTATTGCTGTCGAAATATATTTTTAATGTTACAACAATCTGTTGGTGGACCTGCATCTGCAGATGAATTCCTTCCTGCTTTAATTTTCATTGTTTTAAAAGCTAATCCTGCTCGACTTAAAAGTAATATTAATTTTATCACTAGATTCTGTAATGCAAGTAGACTGATGACAGGGGAAGGTGGATATTACTTCACAAATTTGGTAAAATTTATAGTAATATTTGTCAAAAATATTTTTTATAACAAAATAAAGGAATGAAATTCTAATATAAAATCTGAACTGATTAAAGAAATATAACATGAGAAATAATATATAATGTTTTAGTGCTGTGCTGTATCTTTTATTGAAAATTTAACAGCAGAATCATTGAATATGGATGAGAAAGATTTCAATGCTTATATGTCTGGGGAATGTGTACCTGCTAATACATGGGAATCTGCATTAATGATATGTGAAGTACATATTGAATTTTGTACTTTAATAATCTTACATCAATAAATAAATATTTTTCATATAGCCTATTTTAACTATTTATGTAGAGTTTACATTTAATGTGTGAGGACATAACACTTCTTGATGAAATGAAAGCCAAAACTACAGAAATAATGAATGAAACATTAAATTTAAAAGAAAAACTATTACAATTTCAAGAAGAAATGGAGTCAGAAGTAAATACAGTCTTAGATAAAACTCCACTGCTGATTACACACAGTCAAAGATTACCTACTAATTTAGATTGTGAAGATATTGAAAGTTATCAGCTACCACCTCCAATTATTCCACAAGTATGTTATTCTTTAGGATTAATAAATTTGTTATTATCAATTAATCATAACACCTGATTTCAGATTTATCCTGCTACAATTAGTAATTCCACACCACAAAATGATGTAAAAACTTCTTTAATAGAAGATTGTGTTACACCATCTCCAACTTTTGATTTTCCTTCTTTCATTGGTGATGACAGTTTTGATGTAAGCAAAGCAGAAGATGAAACTAGTCTTATAAGTTTAGATACGCAAAGTGATTTCGATACACAACAAGAAAAATCTTCAAATGAATTATTAGTATCTACTCATTTAAATTTACCATGTACTACAGAATCAGAACAAGAAGATTATCATGGATTCACAGTGCAAGGTTCAAATATACCTACTATTCCTTGTAGTACTGGAGATTTATCTTTGAACTCTGCTGAAGTAGACAATGAAAATTACGCAACTTATTTTCATAATGTATAAAAAAAAAGTATTGTATTTATGTTAAGATTCTAAAAAATGTTCATTTACTACGAATAAAATGTACAATATTACTAGCGAATCACGTTAGATTATGATATAGATTATTTGTATAATTTTAGTTTTGTGGACCTGTTCAAATCAAATACAGA